CGCGGGGCCCAGGGCAGGGTGCGGGGTGGGCCGGGCCGCGACGCGCGGAGCCGGCTGCGAACTTGGGCCGCGCGGCCCCGGGGTCGCCGAGCCGTCTGGGGCGGGGACGCACCGGCTCGACTCACCGGATTTTGTCTTTAAAAGGAATCGCGGGCCTGGTGGGGGCTCCTGCCAGTGGGCGCCCGGGGACCTGATTTCGGGAAGGGGCTGGGGGACGCAGGAGAGGGCGCCCAGGTGTGCGGGTGACTTACTGGAGGGAGCCGGGCCTAGGAGGAGCTGGGGCGCCCTGCGCCTAAAACACCTGGAGGCTGCGGCTCCCCGAAAACGCAGGGCCCCTCGGTCACCTGCTGGACCACGTCCAGGGCGTCCGACGAGGAAGGCGCGGGGAGGGCAAGGCCCCCGCGGGCGCCCCAGGACTGCTGTATCCGGGCCCCTCGGCCCTGCGATGTCGGAAATGAGAACGTGGGTGCGCAAGGCTGCCTTTATTTTCTCGTTCTTAACGCGTTTTGAGTGACGGTATCAGCGTTTGTGCGTGGTGTGTGTGTGTGTGTTTTAATCACAGGAGACTTTTTATATTGGCCTATATTCAATTTCAGGGTAGCCTAAAATAGTAGTTGACATGTTACTTATTTAGAAAGTAAAGAAGTGAGCAATCCCCTTTGGAGATAAGAGTAATTTATTTTAATTCACCATTAAGAGAATGTGCTGGACAATGGGACCGACTTTGCGCTGTCTGCCTGCCCACACCGCCACCCATCAGAGAGATAAATCTCCAAGTTAAGGTTTATTACAATTCTGAGTAATATCATAGCACAGTAAACGTTAGTGCCCTGCACTCTGCAGGGAGGTGCAGGGAGGTATTCAGGCTCTCCTTGTTGGGATTAGTCTTTCTTCTCGCTAATGTGATATTTCAAAGGAAAAGCAAACCGGCTTTCAAAAGTGCATTTTGGGTGTTTTGTTTTCTGGGTTTTTTTTTGTAAATTTTTCCCCCAGATTTACTTAAATACAAACATGTGCTCCAATCTCACTTAAGTGATCACTTGTTCCAATAAGGGCACTGTTATCAGCCAAGATCTGCTCGTTTTAAAATTTAACTGTATTCAGCTCTTACATTTCTTCTATTCCTTTCTAATTTTTTTTGTTGTTGTTGTTCACAAGCAGCGAGCCATTATTAGGGTGACACCAAAAGGACCCAAATTTGAAATTGGTTCATGTGGAGAAACTTGGCCTGTCTGCCACCGTAATGAGCCATGTTGACTAAAATAAGTGAACTTAAATTTGATTAGTTCTGTGTCTGCCTGAAACCATTGGTAGAGCACTTTGATTCTGCATGGTTTTTACAAAACAAATTAAAAGCTGGACAACAAAAGAATTCTATTCTGTAGCTAGTAATTACAGCTGTTTATGTGGGCGGCAGACCGCCTTTTCTCCTAGTGTTTGTACACAAAAACCAGGCGAAGCTTTTCCATAGCCTTCGACTTCCATTCTCCATCCGTCTCTGTGACATCTCTGGGAAGCTGGCAAATGTGGAGTGCAATCACCGAGCATCTGCAAACGGATCATAGAAACAGAGCTGGCTTCTGTTTGTGGCTTGTGTATTTAGTCAACAGGTTAACAGGGCTTACTCATTTCATTCGGATAAATGACAGAAGACTCTGAACTAAGGAGCATTTCACGTGGTGAAGAGTTCGCATACAGCCTGACCATGTCCGTGTGCCGTCTCTGCTCTATCGGACGAGCTGGGAGAAGCCATGCCCCCACCATTCAGGTCATCCTCAGTTGCGATGTGGCCGGCCCTGCGCCCCCTTAGAAGCCCCAGCAGTAGCTGTGTGGTCCTGGGCAAGTTCCGAGAGGTCTCTGGGCCTCTGTTGCCTCACTGTGTCCCATCCGCCTCTCAGGGCTGTCGGGTTCAGTGAAGGGGGCAGGTACGGCCCCCCAGCACAGGCGGGACCCTTAGCGAGTAGGGATCTGTCAATGCAGCGATCATTAGCTGCAAATAGTGCCCGTGGATGACAGGATCTTCCCGGTGGAGATTCTGAGCAAGCGTGGCCCCCTTTGATGGAAGACAGCCCCTCCGCTGCACTGTTATTTCTTTCCAGTGCTCTCCAGCCTCCCCTGGCCACCGTAGTTACCTGCTCCTTGAGAGTTTTAACAGCCCTCTCCAGTACCTCTGGCCACCCCTGCGGCCGACTCTCCTCCCACGCTGCCTTTCCAGCCAAGGTGGGGCGGGGTGGACGCACGCGAGCCCCGAGTTGTTGGGAGGTCTGGTTTAGCCATAATGTTGGCCAAAAAGAAGAAACGAGAGCACAGACTCCACTTCGATACAGGAAAATGTGCCATTTGCCACCCCCAGTAAGTGCTGTGAGCTGTACAATGTTTTAATTACTCAGAGTCGGTTGTAACAGGTGGGAGCCAGTGGAGATCATGGGGTGAGCAATTAGCGGGACTCGGAAGGCTTCCGTGCAGGCCTCAGTTCAGGTCCGTGGCCAGGAAGCTGGGAGGGGGAGCACCCCAAAGGGCAAAGGTTGCTGTGATCAACGCTAAGCTAGGTTATTTGAAAATGAGTTGTAGTTACTCTGTTTTGTTGTTTTGTTTTGTTTTATCGTGCTGGTGACATTATCTAGGTACCCTTCTCACTTACCAATATCCAACTTCCCTGGCCAATTACATTTCAAGGTCCCAAATAAGTTCTCAGTCTATTACAGCACTGTCCAGTTGCAAGCCGCATCTGTAACTACCAATTTTTCTAATGGCCACATTAAATCTATAAAAGATATTAACTTCAGTATATTTCCATTCACTGAAGATATTCAAAATACTACATAAACATGCAGTAAACGTAAAGATGTTACTGCGATATGTTGCTTCTATTGACGCGATCTGTGAAATCGCCATGTGTGCATTTGACAGTCCACCCGGCGCCACGCGCCAGGCACTGGCTCAGTAGCCACACGTGGCTGATGGCTGCCTCGTTGGTCAGCCCAGGTCTATCAAAGCTAGTGCAGCAGACCTGAGATCAGAATCACTAGTTTCTGAAGAAGCGCATGGCTGAGCGCCTCGCCAAGCAGAGCCATACAGCACGAGAGAAGCTGGGACGGTCCCGGAGGGTTTAAAGTGGAACTGGGGCTCTGCCTTGGATCTGCCTCCTGGACCACGGCTTCCTCACGCTTTGGGCCGTGTGTGGTGGGGTCTGCCATGGCTCCTCCCAGGATGCCTTTCTCAAAACAGCTGGAGCTGCCCGGGGCAGGTGGCCCACGGTCCGCCAGGCCCCCCTCCGGGCCCACACCCTGAGCTGACCTTGGAGGTGGCCGTGAACAGCAGCTCCTCCCACTCCCGTCTCAGACCGCCCCAGGGGCTCTGAGCAGCCAGCCAGAAAGGGACTTTATCTGTGTGCCTCCTACCTAAGCGGAATTCAGTGGGGAATCCGCGTTATTATTTAACTACGTAAATAGCACACCCTTTGTGCGAAAGGCCTTTTAAATAAGAATTCCTGGCATTTGGTTCTGAATAACGGTCAGGCTGTGGAACTTGACAGACTTGGGCCGGAATTCAGTGTGAAGACGCCTTAGAAACTGGTACCTGATTTGTTGTCTGACTCTTCTTCCCTTTTTTTCCTTTTTCTTTCTTTTTTTTTTTTTTAAGATGAATGATTTTGGAATCAAGAACATGGACCAGGTGGCCCCTGTGTCTGACAGTTACAGAGGGACGCTCAAGGTGAGTGAGCAAGTTTAACTAAAAGTTGTTGTTTTTCATTGGAAAGCTCAATCTCTCGCAGGAAAAACAAAGGCCTGAGGTCCCAGAAGACCGGTTCTGGCCTCAGCTCTCAGTGTACTGGCTCTGTGACTCTGGGCTGTTTGCCTAACCTCTCTGGGCCTCGGCTTTCTGTAAAGTGGGATCCAGGTGCTTACTCTACATGTTCTGTCTAAGACGCGAAACCACTTAATTTGTAGAAGGGGAGGCCTGTGTAGTTTATTTCTGAGATTCCTGCCATGTGGAAAAGCTTGTGGTTTGTCCCTCAGCAGAGCTGAGGAGGCTTCTCTTCCCCCCAGAAGATGCGAAGGCTGTTTCTGCAATGAAGCAGGCGGGCAGGCTTCCATCAAAAGGGGCAGAGCCCTCTGCCCGTTTCCGTAAACCAAGAAACGTTAAAGATGAAAGCCTTCTGTGCTGCATAACAAAAACAAATTGCACATGGCTTCTATAAATTCCTCTTGGGAACATTCTTTAACAGCACAAACCGATAATTTCCTATTTGCCTTCTCCACACGTGAGAGTGAGATGTGAGAGATTCGATTGTTTTTAGCTTTGTGTAGTAAACATGTCTCAGAAGCGGTGATTTTAGATCAGCCTCCTCTGAGCTCAGTGTCTTTATAAGTGTCTGTCTGTCTCTCTCTCTCTCTCTCTCTGGCATGGTGTATTTTCCTTCATAGGACACCGTGAGGTCTGATGGATCCCCAAGAGCCAAAAATTGGCCCACTGCCTTTCTCATGGAGACTATCCAGCTTCAGGCTAGGAGTCTTCTTGTGTGATTTGGTCAGATGTTTTCGGCCTGGCAGAAACCATACAAGACATACCAACTTTGAAACCATACCACTAGAAAGAAAAAATTCTTCTGTAAATTAAAAAAATGTGGTGATGTCCATGTGATTTCTGAGTGAAGAAACAGCTACTAAAATTGGTGTGTTGAAATGTGTAGCAAGAATTTGTATTGTTTTTTTGACTTCCTGATTTTTAAAAAAAAGAACTTACAGTTGGCAAAGGAAAGGCCTTTCTTAGTCACCTGGGCATCGCTAGTGGAAATTTTAAAAATCGATTGGCTATTGCACCCTAAATTAGTCCACAATTGTAAAGTAGCATACAAATCTAGATGAGTATTTTATACTAGCCTCAAGGATTTTTCCCTTGACGTCTTGGGACATCCGTTGGTAATCGCTGCTGTGGATTTGGGGGCGGAGGTGGGGGGGACTCCATCGTTGGGACATCATTGTTTTGAGTGTTCGGGGCTGAGCTCCAGCTTCTCCTTACCCTCTTAGGTAATGCGTCACTCATCCATTGTTTCTGCATTTCTAAGAAAGCACACAAACCGATTTTATTTGTAAATGTGTTACACATATTTTTATGGATGACTCAACCAATGGGTCATTGTATTACACATAACATGGGATTTCCAGCTTATGTTGGAAAAAGATCATCTTTCTTCACGTTTTTCCCTCAACAAGTGAGGCAATGATGAATCAAGACTTAACTGTTACTTGTAAACAAGCCTTACTTAAAAGGCTGTTTCATAGATGTTAGATCGGATGATCAGAAATACAGACAGAATGTGGTTTGATCTTTCTCTGTGTTCTCTCTCTTTTTCTTTCTCCCAAACCGTGGATAATTTAACTCTAAACCTGTATCTGTCAAAAGTCGTTCCCCATAGTAGATGGTGGTGCGGGGAAAAGAGTCTTTTTAATACTCTTTACTTTTATAAAATTAAACCTTAAGCGTTTTTCTGATATGTTTTACTATTTTCTGAATCGTTGGAGTTGATGAAGAAAAACATCTAGCTTGAGTTAAAATTGTGGTGTTGTAGACACTTCAAAATGAATGCTGCACAGATCATGGATCGTTTGATTTCCAATTACCATTCAGTCATTGGCTTTTTGTTTTAGCTGCAGTGACCTAAAACTGTCTTGCCAATGGTCGTTTTTCTTATACTCATGGACTGATTGCATTTCTCTCCGATCCACGTAGCGGGAGGGCCAGGAGTTTGGACCAGGTGGTCTCTGAGGCCCCTCTCAGCTCTGTTCTTCTAAGATTTTAGTATTTTGAGATGTGTTGACTTAACTTATTAACTTAAGTGAATTAGGCCATTAAAAATAAATTCCCAGTCGTTCTGACTCTGCGTGGGTGATTAAAGGACCCAGAGCGAAACAGAGTCCTTTTGGTCACTTGGCCCATCCAAGGGGAGCCTCTTTGGAGTGCCGCTGGTCCGTTCCAGGTGCGGCTTTAGGTCCGTTCCAGGTGTGGCTTTATCATGGCCGGTTTAATCGGGCCATATCAGTGAAGTCACCCAGAGATCACTTTGAAAACGTAATTAACGAAGTGTAAATATTACATTTCCATTTCCCTTTCCGTCCCTTGCCGCAGCGCCAGCCAGCCTTCGACGCCTTCGACGGGTCCCTGTTTGCTGTTTTTCCCTCCCTGAGTGAAGAACAAGCCCTCCAAGAAGTGCCCACGGGCCTGGATGCCATTTCTCACGGTAACGTGCTCCCCAGACTCACCTAAGCCGCGTGGTTCATAAAGACACGGCAGTTCATCAGCGATGATTCTGGTGTTGTGTCTTTGCTCTGAAAAGTCAAATTAGGCTCTGGGCTTGAGCCTGGTGATGTGTTCCTGGTGTCTGCCCCTGCCAGACGCACCCCAGAGAGAGCAAATGTCCTGCTCTTGGCAAACAGCAGGCGACTCTGAGGTTTTCTTCTTTTCTTTTTTTTTTTTAACACCTATAGCACCCGGTCTTCCTAGGCGGTCTCCCATCCAAGTACTAACCAGGCCCAACCCTGCTTAGCTTCCGAGATCAGACGGCATGTGTTCGGGGTGGCGTGGCCGTGTAAGGTTTTCATTAGGGTGTTTTCAGCTTCACGGCTCTCAGGTCCCCTCTGCAAAGCAGACCCCAGTGCAGATGAAAATGCACCCCAACTTTTCATTCTTGAGTCGCATCTAGATCATCCCCTCCGGAGTTTTGGGGCAACTCATTATTATTCTCGCTAACCTTTACCCATCTGTATTTACTTTCGTAGTTCATAATGTCATTGTTTATTCTTCATAAAGGCCCAGCACGTCAGATAATGCCTGTGCCACCACTGTGATAGAGTTATTAGCGAGAAACATTCCAGAGATTACTTTGTCATATGAAGTAGGTGCTACAAAATACAGCCCAGAAAATTAATTAAAACACATGTGCTTACGTAAGCATGCCATCATGTGACGGTCATTTATCATTCTTGAAATTGCTGAGGGAATCCAGAGAAGATTGTTTTTCAATAAAAATTGAAGGCGTGCCAACTTTACGGGTGTGAAGGGCCGTGTGCTCATACTGTGCTCCAAGTCTCTGCCTGCTGCTCAGTTGAATTAATTTCCAAATAATGTATTGACAGTTCCTTAAGCCTTTTGGCCAAAAACCACACTATTTCTGTCATTGTCGAAAATTTAAAATAGACTTAAGTAGACATTTTACGGAGGCATAACCGCTTGATGAAGTTTCGCTTCGTAAAGTAAAAGTTGAGTTTTGCTTTACATGCCTTTAATCAGTGACGTTACGAGACAGACGTATAGTAGTTCTTCAATTTCAGTTAAAAATTTTTTGTTGTTGTTAATAATTGGCGTTCGTTTAAGGAATTGTGTCAAGGTTCAAGGTCAGAATTGTCTTCCTCAGCACTAAGTTTTCTCCCCTGGACCCTCCGTCTGGCGTCGCCCGCTCAGAACCCTGATGTTCCCTGGCTTGCTTTCTAGACGCTGCCAGCTGCGAACTGCCCCTGCTGACGCCGTGCAGCAAGGCCGTGATGAGCCAGGCCTTGAAGGCCACCTTCAGCGGCTTCCAGAAGGAGCAGCGCCGCCTGGGCATCCCCAAGAGTGAGTTCCCGCCTCGGAGCCGCCCCTCCGAGCCCGCGCTGTCCTGGGCAGGCGAACTTGGCTGCCGCGACCTTGAAGGGGGTTCTCTTCTTACGTAAGCCTTTGCGTCAGGCATCGTGCCAACAGTGGCAGAGACTTGGTTCCCCCGAGCCAGTTTTGGTTCCGACCCAGCCAGCCGAACCCTGAACTCTAGCACCGTCATCAGCGTCTCAGAATTCGCCTGGGGGTCTCGCTCGTGGCGTTGGTCTTTGGTGCACGTGCGGAACTCGCGGACGAATCAGGGGTGACTGTGGTCTCACTGCCTCTCACGGTTTCCCCCTTGTGTGTTTCGTCTTTTCCTCCTCCCCCCGCAGACCCCTGGCTGTGGACGGAGCAGCAAGTATGCCAGTGGCTTCTGTGGGCCACCAACGAGTTCAGTCTGGTGAACGTAAACCTCCAGAGGTTTGGCATGAATGGCCAGGTATTGTGTAACCTGGGCAAGGAGCGCTTTCTGGAACTGGCACCTGACTTCGTGGGTGACATCCTCTGGGAGCATCTGGAGCAGATGATCAAAGGTACCAGCCCTGGGAGGGAAGAGTGACAGGGAGACCCAGTGCCCTACAACCGTAGGGTCAGAGTTTGAAATGATATAAATTGCCCGAAAACCCCACTGGGGTGAGTCACATTTGCGGCGATGATGATAGGTTTGGATCTAGTTGAGTGTGTGTGGCATCGAGCACAACCACAAGGCAAGAGCTTTAGTCACTGACTCGTTCACTGTCGCTAGCCAGCATTCATCGGAGGAGTACGTGTTGGCCCAGATATGGAGGCTAGCAGGAATTACCTGATTGGTGGCTCGCCTCACAATACGAAAGAAATAAGTCAGCCTCAGTGACAGGGAACCTTTATTCTGACAGACTCCAGGAACTTTATGGTACCTTTTAAGTCTGAATGGATTCTAACAAAAAGAAGTTTTGGGATTTTCTGTTTTTAAACAGATGTAGAAGTCATCAACCTATATTTATACCCTGACACGTTATACAAAAAACTAGCCACCGAGAAAAGAACTCTCTCTAGAGAGAGAGAAAGTCTTGATTCAGACCCGAAGAGAGCATTGAGCCTATTGTTAAAAACTACCTTGAGTTAAAAAAGATAAAAATTATAATGAGGGGGTCACTGGTAGAGTCAAACATCTAACAACGTTAGCTCATTTGTAGAGTTCAGAGAAATGGAAATGTTCCTCATTTCGCCGAACACTGAGTTTCAACATCTCTTACAGACTCAGAATCTTAAAATGACCTTGATTCACTCTCTGGCCCCTTTTAGTTATGACTCCCGAGGGCCAGGGAAACTTATTTTTAAAGACACCCCAATTTTCTCTGAACTCGGACAAGTCCGATCCGCTGAGTTTCTAGTGAAGGTCAGTTTGTTTGTTGGCAAGTTGGGCCTGTGTTTTGCATCATTGGGTGTGAGTCTGTGTGGGTTTGGCTCTGTGGGTGTGGGTGTGGTTACGTGTGTTTGTAGGGAGCAGGCAGACACAGAGCCACCAGCCTTTTCCCTTTCGAAGTTCCTGCGCACGTGTGTCCCCGTCAGGGACTCCCACAGCCTGGCAGAACTCTCAGGCTTCGAAGCGATGGCCATAAGCCTCGCAGCGGCAGGAACGAAGTCTGCTTTACTCACCTGCTCCGTTCCCAGCCCCTGCCTGGTACGGGTGGCATGTCACAAATATTTAACGACTGGTTGACGACACGGATGAGTTAAATAGGCCATCTAGACCTTTCAGATTATGCAATAGAAAATTTAACTTTGCCTGTGACAGCATTCGTGTTGGGAAACTTATTCTAGTTATTAGAAAACGGCGTGGTTGTCTCTAGTTTTGTTAAAAGACGTAACGACTTGGATACCGTTGGATTAAATCCGAGCCCCTCGATGCATTTCGGTATTAGGAGATAACCACATAACAGTGATTCAGAAAGTAACTTTTTTTTCTCGTGCAGTTTTTACCTCCGTTTGCAATCTTATCTCTCCCGTGTCTGTTTTTCAGAAAACCAAGAAAAAACAGAAGATCAGTATGAAGAAAATTCCCACCTCAACTCGGTTCCTCATTGGATCAATAGCAATTCATTAGGTCAGTCCAGCGCGCTCTGCCCTTAAGATCTTGATGTTAAGTCATCCTCTTAGCCGGCGGAAGGTCCAAAGGCCCCGTCGAGACCTGCGCTGTCCCAGGTGGTGGCCACGTGTGGCTGCCGAGCTGCTGGGCACTTGGAATGTGGCTGGTCCACTTTGAGATGTGTGGCAAGAACTTGCTGCACACAGGACCCGGCAGTCTTAGCCTGAAACAAAGAATGTAAAGTATCTCCTTCCTGATTTTAAAACCATTGATTACCTATTGAAATGATAATTGACATATTAGGTCAAGTAAAGTTTTTAAATTAATTCCCCGTTTCTTTTTACTTTTTTAATGTGGCTACTAAAGAGTTTAACGTTGTGCAAGTGGCCCGCATTATCTTCGCGTTGGCCGGCGCTGGTCCAGGCCCGGCAGAGAGCGAGGGGCGGAATGGAGTGAGCTGATAGCCGTGGTCACGTCTAGTGTGACAAGTGAGAGGCGGCCGGCACAGGAAGTGTGCGGCAAGCAATACTAAATTCGCCGTGAACGCTGGGATTTAAAAGGTGTCGTGGACTCGGGTTCATCCTTTTGGTTGAGCATGGGTGACCGGCGGCCCCCCGGCCAGGGTGAGGAGGGGCGACTGGAGATGCCCCTTAGGAGTCATGTCTTTGGGGGCATAGCACTTCATCTACGTGAGTCTTACTGTCCTCGGAAGCCAAGAGGGCAAGTGCCATCCTGGGCATCACGCGAAAGCTCTCGGTGACCTCGAGCGCAGAAATGCTAACACCGAGGCCTTGCAGGCGGGGCCTGGCGCCAGGCGGGGTCTGACAGGCGGGTCCGGAGGCAGCAGGCCTTTTGGAAAAGGGCCAAAAGGCTGGGACGGGGAATGGCTGAGACAGGCCTGGGAGGAAGCCTGCCCACCAGAGCCTGCATCTCCACGACGTTTTACAGAGGCTGGAGCATGCGGAGCCGCCCGCGTGCAAGGTGGTCGTGACCTTGGCCTAATAGCCCTGGCATCGGTCGCTGTGTTCCAGGTTTCGGAGTGGAGCAGGCGCCCTATGGAGTGCAGACGCAGAATTACCCCAAAGGCGGCCTCCTGGACAGCATGTGCCCGGCGGCGCCCGGCGCCCTCGGCTCTGAGCAGCAGTTCCAGATGTTCCCCAAGGGGCGGCTCAGCACGGTCAGCGTCAGCTGCTGCGCCGTCGGTCAGGACTTCGCGGGCGGCAGCTTGAATCTGCTCACCGGCAGTTCCGGTAAGAAGCGCCTCTGGGCGTCCCTTTCCACGCGGCCGTTGGTTTGATTCTGGAAGCCACCGTCAGGGACATGGGCTTTGTCATCGGGAGTCCCGTGTCCGGCCACAGGAGGAGATCAGAGGTCCCGTGTTCTGTGTGACCGGGTCACTGTCCCAGACGCCTGGGTTGCGTAGTGAGCAAGCTCCTCGTGCGTTTCAGGCTGCGGCATGGGCCCTGGGGGTTCTGAGGACACGAGACACAGTTCCCGCGCGTGTGGCCGGGGTCCTCCACCCAGTAGGGTGTTCGGAAAGACAGTGTAGGAATGCGACAGACTGTGTTTTCTGGAGACGTGTATATACACAGTACGCGAGGCTCAGATTATACGAGTGGTTGAATTACCTGTATACACCTGTTTAATGGCCACCCAGGTGGATGGAGGGGTTTCCAGCACCCCAGTAGGCTCTCTCATACCTCTTCCCAGTAATAGCATCCACACCCCAAGATGAAACCATCGCCCTGACTTTTATCATCGTGGTTATTCCTGTTCTTGAACTTGATATAAATAGAGTCGCCTCATCTGTCGTTCCCTTTCGTGCCTGTCTTTTCGCCCATCGTGCTGCCTGAGGTCCACCCATGTCGTTGCATGTGGCCGCCTCTCGTCCCTTTTCGCTGCTGCGTAGTACTCCGTCCCTGACTCACCCATCCTACGGGAGAGTCATCCTGAGGGACAGGCCTGAGAGCAGCTTGAGAGCGTTGTGACCGTCGGAATGGCCGTGCCCGCAGGAGCACGGTGGAACGGGGGTGGCGGGCGGTGACGCTGCCGTCCTGCCTCTCAGCAGAAGGGCGGGACGTGGCTTTGTCCTGGAGGAGACAGGGTACCCGGTTGTCGCCGCCAGGGACGCCCGGAGAGCAGGACGCCGCCGAGAGCGGCGCCGACGGCTTCGAGAGCTCGGACTCCCTGCTGCAGTCCTGGAACAGCCAGTCCTCGCTGCTGGACGTGCAGCGCGTGCCGTCCTTCGAGAGCTTCGAGGACGACTGCAGCCAGTCCCTGTGCCTCAGCAAGCCGACCATGTCCTTCAAGGACTACATCCAGGAGCGGAGCGACCCGGCGGAGCAGGGCAAACCGGTTATACCCGCGGCCGTGCTGGCCGGCTTCACGGGTGAGTGCGGCTCTGGGGCGCCCACCGCCGCCCCTGCCCGGCCGGGCCCCGCCCCCGTGCGCCTGGCCAGGGCGTTTCCGATCTGAGCACGTCGCGTCTACACCCCACGTCCGACCTGGGTGGTGGAATTCCGAATCCGGCCGAGCCCTGTCCCTGAACTTGAGAAAGGCCCAGCTGGCAGGAGCCTTCCCGTGCCCAGCTCGGGCGTGGGTGAAAATGCACCGCCCGCTCCCTCACCTGCGATGAGCTCGCCATTCCGGACAGGGGGGGCCGGGGCCTCCCGGCCTGTGCCTCTGACTCACCCCCTTGGGGAATGTCAAAGAATGTAAACTGGCCCCGGGAGGGGCAGCAGGTCAGCCTCAAATAACTCAGGACTGTTTACTTTTTCTGTTTCTAAAACCCATCTTATTTTTAAGGTTTGGGCAAGAGCTATTCTAGGCAAGGGACAAATATTAAAGCTGTTTTTAGAACCAGATATTTCCAGCACTTTAGCGAAAATGCCGAGAGTTTTTTTTTTTTTTTTAATTGCTTTATGTGTCCTTAAATGAGCTTTTTTTTTTTTTTTTTTCATATTTTGACCATATGGAGCCACTGGGGGTTTAAAAAATACCTACTTAAAAAAAAAAATCTGATAGGTTAAAATAAGAACATGTAGGCATTCGGGTTTTTTTTTTTTTTTTCCCTGTCACCTAAAACAAACAGCCATGGGGACGTGTTGACACGCAGAGTGTGTGAGAACTAGTCTAGTTTTCATGCGCGGGACCCGGGGCCTGATGAGAAAGTAAACAGCCATTCCGTCAGTGCCTTTCGTTTGGTCACCGGCTGCCACTGGTGGCCACCTGCTGTGCGCAGGTGCCTGGGCCGGTGGTCAGGAGGCCCGGCGTGCGGTGTCGCCCCATTTTACAGACGGGGAAGCTGGTTCTGTCTGGCTCTGGATCCCTGTGCGCGTGCCTCACCGACGGCCTTCGCGTCCTGGGAGTCGCTGTGTGACGGGCCCAGGGCACGCTGTGGCTCGCCCCTCGTCTGTAGACAGGGCCACCATGATAAGGTGGTGGCTCCAAAGTCAATGCGAGGAGCACTTGGCAGGGGCGGCGGGTGCCACTGAGCCACCCGTGTGCCTGAGTCCCGGCTCGAGCCATCTGCCCGCTGTCCTTCTGCGGGAGAGCGCGGGGGACGAGCCTCGCCCTGCAGTGAAACGCCCCTGCGCCCCTCCCCCACCCCCACCCCTGCTGCCCCCCTGGGTATTTGTGGAAACAAACGTTGGAAGTTACCAGATGAGGAGCAGTTACCCAGGGTGAGGGATTCCAATGCCAAGAATAGGCGGCCCTGAATTCCTTTCCAGAAAAGACCAAGCTGAGCACTCGGGGGCCTGGCGACCTTCCCTAGGGGCAGGAGGCACCCGGAGGCTCCTGCTGGTGTCTGGCCTCGTCCTGTTAGCATGCAGGACTGTCACCAGCATCTGGAATGGCACCTCGACATTGGCACCCGGCGTCAGATGGCTGAAGCCTTGCTGCGTTTTAAGTCTAAAAACACATAACCCGCCCTCTCCCCCAGGAAGCGGACCTATCCAGCTGTGGCAGTTTCTCCTGGAATTGCTGTCCGACAAGTCCTGCCAGTCATTCATCAGCTGGACGGGGGACGGATGGGAGTTTAAGCTGGCTGACCCCGACGAGGTACGGCCAGCACCTGGGCTCACAGGTGCAGCTCCCTGGGCACCGGAAGGCGTCCCAGGCCTGGCTGGCTCCGTCGACAGGTTTACAGTGTCTGTGCATGCGTGTTGCCACGTTCACCGTCTCGCTCTGCCATTGAATAAGAAGGCACAGGCGGTAAACTGAGGCTCTCTCCTCACCGTGCAAAAGTGTCTTGGGGAGTCTGGCATTTTCTGTTGGGGGGATCGAGCCTCAGTACATGATGCAGGCTCTCCTGCGGGGCTTCCTCGGCCCTCAGCTGAGCACAGCAGAGCTGCCCCAGCCCCGTCTGGAGCAGAAAGCCAAGGGCGCATCCAGTACCCGTCCCTCAGAGACGGCATTGGAGAAGCCAGGTCTCTGCACGGGTAAAGTGCAGTCTGTCACCTCCCCGGCCCCTTGGCAATGTCACATCGTTCAGAACCCCACTCCGCAGCTGTCAATGGCAGTGGCAGGAGGCGAGGGGACACAGGGTTCCCCTTGTCACTCACACACACACACACACACACATACCCCAACCCCGATTCTGAACCCTTGGCTCCCAGGAGGTTTTGCTGAGCAAGGGGCCATGAGAGCCCTGTACCAGACAGTGCTGAGGGTGGAGAATCTGCCGGGGGACACAGGGCCCTGCGCAGCACCTGTCCTAAACAGGTGGCACCGTGGGGTCCCTTTGTAGTGGGCAGGTCCTTCCGGGCGAGCGCTCGTCAGCGTCATGCTCGGGGGAGAGCTTCTCCCTTTTTCTTAATCGCCAAGTAGAACCGAACTCTCCACGGTCTGTGTCCCCCACAGGTGGCCCGCCGGTGGGGCAAGAGGAAAAATAAGCCCAAGATGAACTATGAGAAGCTGAGCCGGGGTCTGCGCTATTACTACGACAAGAACATCATCCACAAGACGTCGGGGAAGCGCTACGTGTACCGCTTCGTGTGCGACCTGCAGAACCTGCTGGGCTTCACGCCCGAGGAACTGCATGCCATCCTGGGCGTCCAGCCGGACACGGAGGACTGAGGCCCCGGGGGACCGCGTGCAGGGCCATCGTGACTGGCTGCGCCCAGGACCCTGCCAGGCCAGACTGAACGCGCCCGGGAACGTGGCCCGGAAGCACCTGGAACCTCGGCTCTTCGCCCAACAGCGCAGTCTCTCGCGCGTACAGAGCCTGCGGACAGGAAAACGCTGTTTATACCGCGATGACATTGAAGTGGCCGAGAGGGCAGCACCGGGAAGCCACCCGGCCTCCGCCCGGGCCGTGTGACAGGATCGCTCAGGCTGCCGGAGGGAGCGTGTCGTGGACACACACAGTTTGGGGTTTTCTTTTGCCTTTGGCAACCAGGAATCACAAATGCAGAAGCGTCTCCTTCAGAGGGCGGGAGGGGCGAGGAAACCATGTGTCATTTCAGAAGTCGGTTTTGTATATACGACTGTAATCTTATAGTTGTCAGAATCCTCTCACAGTTCTATTTAACAGAAATTGTATATTGTAATTTAAAATAATTATCTAACTATGTGAAATAAGAGTGCGTAACGGCATTTTGCAAACATGGAGTCTGCCTACAGGAATGAGGTCTAAGAGGGTTATTCCCCATTTTCTTTGTGTTTCGTTTTGTTTTGTTTTGTTTTGTTTTGTTTTGCCTGGGTTATTATCTGGCAAGAACTTTTGTACATTTGGGAATTTTTATAAGAAACTTGCTGTTATTATCCAGGGGCACAATGTGGCCTCTGCTTTCTCCTTTAATTGTAATGTAAAAGCTGTAAAGCAGTATTTTTCTTGACAAATGGCATCTGTTGTCCATTTCTTCGCATGCCTTTAAATCAGTTGATACGCAAAACTCATTGCCTAGTTCAACTGTGCGCCCCCCACACTGCCCTCCCCGGCAGCTCTTTCCACCCCGTGCCCCATTTCCAAGCCCCGAATTATTCTGTGTGATTAAGAATACTATTTTTGGAAATACGCAACTCCTTTTCAGAGATCAGGCGGGATTTAACATAGCTATTTTTACTGTAAAAGTAACTCACTGGGGGGAAAAAATGTAATTTGTAAGAAAGCTTTATTTTTTATCTCAGCTCACGTAAAGAGCTGGAGGTTCGGGGAGCGGAGGAACCTTTGTTCAAACCTCTCAGCCACAAATGCAGCACGATTTGTCTCGTCCTTGTTCCCCGTTGAGTCGGGCTGTCTGGGTACCAGGCTTCCCCATCTGCTCAGCCTCCACAGCAAGACGGTTCTGTTTCTGTCCGATTTTCTTGGACGCAGACTAACCAGAGGCCAGGAGGGAAAACGAGGTGGTCAGGAGCATTGGAATAGCTCGCGATGGAGACTCGCATGGTGGTTTCTAAGGCGCGCATGGGCCAGTGTGTGTTTCTGGCCTTCGTAAATGATCCGGCCCAGTTGGTCTCGAAATGGACAGGCTTCACTAGCAATGAGAGGACCCTGGGACAGTGGCTGACAGCTCTAAGGACTCATTTGTGGGATGAGAGCACGTGATCGGCTGGAAGGGTGGACTGGGGAGAGCGAAGCCGGCTCGAGACCCACTCGAGACAGTTTCCAGTATCTTGAAACACAGGATGGTTCTCTCAGGCAGGACCATTCATCGTGCAGACATCTGTGACATCCACAGACGTGTGACCAGGAATGTCGGTCATGCTGCCAAAACAGATCTTAGCCATTGGCTCGTTTTACGTGGGGCTGAACCACATGAAATCACCAGTATTTGTTGCTTTTTTTTTAACCCACATGGTTGGCAGTTTCATGTGGTCCAACCTAATCGTGATGGGAACTGAAGTTCATTGTAAACCTTTGGCATATGGGAATGAACGGAACTTAAGTATAAAAATTTTGTAATTTGGCCGTTGCTTTCTCCAATAATAAAGTATTTTGTTTATATAAACTCCTCCTCGTCAGAGTCTTCATTCTTGGCATGCCTCCGACCCCAGCGTGGAGGAGGCAGCGTGAGGATTTGGCGCTTAGGGCCACTGCCCACTCAGCAGCTTTCGGTCATCGAGGGTCACATGGCTGTTTAACTGATTTTACACACAGGCCACCTGGTAAATCACGACCAAGCCGAAATTCCCAAACAGCGTTCGTTCCTTAAAGCGAAAAATTATTTTAAGAAGGGATCGGAATGAGAAGGTTCAGGTTCTTGTCTTTGCCAGGGGCTTGGCAGAAATAACAGAAGGGAGTTGAGGGCGTTTACGTTCGAGAACATCAGGGTCTGAGGTTCAAGTGAGAATGGCATTGTTTTTCTTGTTTGTGGCTTCTGTAGCAGAGGCCATGACTCTCCTTGACTCCTGACATTGCTGAGCTGACTTACCCGGAAAGGAAGGTGACGGTCTCCGGACACTTGTCCTCAAACTCATTCTCAGGACTTCTTTCCGCTCTTCGAAATTTGTGAGAATGCCAACAGACTTAGGTGGATTACATCAGAAGTGTGCTGCATGGAGCCAGCTCACCGAGGGCTAGTGAGAGCTGACGGGCACCTCTCTCTGTAACTCTGTGTCACCGACGTGTTGGTAGCTTGAACTTGGCCGTGATGAGACTGATCACACCGTGAAATCAGCAAAGGCTACAAATAAGGGCTCTCCCAACCCCCCTCAGGGAGGTGGTTGTTAAACATGACCAGCACACCGCTGGTCATCAATATTTACCGGATTGTAAATTCAAACACATTTTCAAATATGATCGATTTTTAAAATGATATAGTACATATTAACATTTTCATGAACAATAACTACTTTTCAAAGAAAGTGAGAATGGCATTGTTTTTCTTGTTTGTGAATCTCGATATCTGCTTCCGTAGAGGAGCTAGATTCAGTCTGTTGTGATATTTTTTGAAGAAAATCACGCTTCACACAGATATGTACTTGTAAGAGGGAGGAGTTCTTAATAGCTGTTTCAGTTTATTGTAGATACTGTTTTATACAACACCAAAACTGATGAATGGTAGTTTCTTAAAGGTTAATTGCACTTGGAATATGAAACCATATCAATAAACCTTCCTGCAGTTACCATAAACCCCACCGGTCTGTCTTGCACTTTGAATGGATCTTGTACCCATACGTGATTTTGTAATATCATGCATTAGTCACATGGGAAAACCTGCTTCAAAATGTTGACACAGTTTAATAGTCAATGTCAAGCAATCATATTAGTTATTATCGCCACCAATTTCATCAGCAAAGTACCGGGAAGCTATCAAGCTCACAGTGGCAGATACAAATCTTCAAAAATTCAAATTTGCGCTTGAAAGCTCAAATTTTATTATTGGCAACAAACACCGAGTTTTCTTTGAAGTGACAGACCCATTCATTTACTTTTGAGGAAATAACCTATCAAATATCCAAGTCTGAAAAAAAGTAATTTGTTGGTTGTTCTTTCAATAATAACAGTGTTCATGAATAAAGTGGATAGTTTAGCTTGCAACTCAAGTTCTTTTTTTTAAGATAGTATAAACATATTAAATTTAAAATTAAATATAAAAGCATTTTCATAATTTTTATTTTTCAATTACAGTTGACATACTATATCAGTTTCGGATATACAGTACGGTGGTTAGACATTTATATACCTTATAAAGTGACCACCCCAATAAGTCTAACGCCCACCTGGCATCATACGTAGTTACTGCAATATTACTATGTTCTTTATGAGCACTTTTCATTTTATTACCCAGAAATTATCGACGTATTCATAAAATTGATTTTTACTGCTTCATGAAGGGCTTTTTTGAATGAGACTGGTATTTTTTTTCCTGCAAGCACACAGTGGTGACGATTGCAATGACCGCTAGCATTGTTTAGCGTCAAGTCCCCAGCAATTTCGTCCACCTTTGCTTTTATACCATCAATGCAAATGTTGACACAGTAAAAAGGGCAAACAATATTATCACAAAAATCATTTTGACCGTGAGGGTCCCTCTGAAAGGGTGTCCTAGTCCCTCAGTTGTCCGTGGCCCTCACTTCGAGACCCGTTCTAGAAATCAAAGGGGTGTAACTGGGCTGGTCGGGGGGCAGGGAAGGACAGCTTTCCTTCCCCCTCTCTAATCCAGTGTCCACACTTCCAGGCTTCTCCTTTCATAGCCAGTCAAGACAAAACGTTTTTTTTGTTTTTTTTTTATTTAAAGCAAAAAGTGCTGTCTAATGTTCTGCGTGATAAACTCCATTCCCACAGGGTTGCGGATGCTCTAAGTCCTTCTACCACCCTTCACCGTCCTTTCTCATCTTCGACTCCAATTACAAACCTTTTTAAAAAAATAGAAAAAAATGTATCTTTTATCTCATTTTTGTTTAAATTCATTTTTCTTGACATACTCAAAACCAAGATCGCGAAGAGACGAGCTATGCGTGGCCCGTCTTTCAGCTTTTCCACAGGATGGAGAAGAAGCGACATCAAATCACCTTTAGCCTCCCCCATCGTGTGCTGGGTTCTCCTTCGTTCAGGGGTCCGGGGTGGCCCGTGGACTGCCAAGGGTGGACGCTCACTGCAAGGCTGGCGGGGCTGCTGGGCTGGGTGTGCGAGGTGCAGGACGTGGGGGCCAGAGGAAGCGGGGAGGAAATGGGGCAGGGTGGGAGCAGCAGATTGTCCCTCCGCCACCTAGGAACCATCAGGCACAGGACGGCAGCAGGGCCTTTGTGCCTTGGAGCCCGACCCCAGGTTATCGCTGTGGCTCATGGTGTGATGCCTCTGTGCCTCAGTTTCCCCTCCCTAAAGTGGGGTCACTGGGTGGCAGTGAGTGGATGACTCTGTCATTAGTGAAGACTGTGGGAAGTCAGTGGCCTGGGGGGCTCCCTTTAAGCCGTGAGCAAAGCGTTCCGGCAGGGGTGTCTGCGGAGAAAACTCCTGACAGCGGCATCGTCTCCTTCATAAGAAGAAACCCGGGCACAGAGTTCAGCAGTCAGGCCGGCCCTTAACCCAACCAGGACTCAGACCCAGGCCTTCTGTTTCTTAATGTTTTCTCTTGCCATGAAAACCACGCCATACTTTGTTTACATCATTATGGGTGCTACCGGGGGGCTCCCCCAAGCTTCCAGTTTCTCCTTCTACAGCCCCAGGTTTGAATTTTAAATTATGCACGAGCCTCCTACCCAAAGAACAGCAGTTCTCATCTATGCAGGAGCTGACGGCAGCCAGTCTAGTCTGAGCAGATGCGAGGATCCCACAATCTGGGCCAGATGTTAATCTGTCTCTTCTGTAAGAGCAGGACAGACGGGTGCAACCCGCAGCAGTGAAGGGGGAAACCCCAAATGGTGATACTCTTCCTGGGCAGGGTTGGAGCGTGAGATGCTGCCTGACATCGGACATCAGGGCGAAGACCAGTTCGGGTCATAAGCTGGTGTGATGACACTTTTGCAACTGACACTGGCTTGCCCCTTGTCGTCGTGCTGTGAGTAACGGCCCCTCCTTGTCTCCCCAAGTCATGTTCAGATGGCAAAACAGCCCGAGATTGCCACATCTGACCCCTGCCAGCTGTGTCTGTGTCTGTGGGTTCATACTCTGCATGTAGATAACTGGGGCTCAGCACGCACGTGTGTGTTTGCATGGCATGGGGCCAGAAACGCCGATCATGGGGGCCCGAGGCCTGGGCTGGCTGGAGGATGGAGCATGGGAATGAGAGTTCCAACAAGTAGTAAATAGAAAATGAACAGTCGAGCAAAAAAAAAAAAAAAAAAAGTCGTGTGCCAGCTGTGGTCCATGTCCACATAAGCCCATGAGAAACACCTTCACCACTTGCTGGTAAACTCCACTAGACTGGGTATTGAAGAGGTTCTTTCTCATCGAAACGCAGATCTGTAATTAATAATTGTGAAATATGCTAACGCTTGCAAGGCTCACCTTCGTCCATCATCTCCTTGTGACCCTGGTGGGGAACGGGGGTCGGTTTTATCCTGCTCGTTTTACTGATGTGGAAACTGAGGCTCGGAGAGGTTAAAACCCGATGCCGAAACTGGAAGGACTTGTCTGGACCCATCGGTGGCCCTGATCAATTGTGCTTGAGGTGCAGACTCTGGCTCGGGGTCGTGGAGGGCTCAGCGGGCTGGAGCCCAAAGCTACCGCCGCCGCTGAGGAGCTGGACAGCTTCTCAAAGACGGTCACCCGGATGGCCACCCTCGTCCAGTCTCCTCAGTTCCAGGTAATTAACAGCAGTGCTGTAGACCCTCCGGCCTTCCCACTCCACGCGGGAAGCCGGTCTCCCTGAGGACTTGACATCTTATCTAGAATTCTCAGATCCTGAGCAATCAGACTAGTATTTTTGATCAAATCGGCATGGCCCCGGGGCCTCTGTCTTTCCAAGCTGTGTGTGGGACCCAGAGCTCATGCAGACGGTGGCTCCACCCAGTTTGGTTCATCTTCACGGGCTGGTTTTCGTATTCATCCAGCCGGCCATTCCTTTACAAGCAGTTAGCAAACGCCAGCCCCTGGGAATATGCAGATCACTGAAAGCCAGTCGAGGAGCCAGTTTCTGGTGACAGAGCCCAAGAGTGAAGACAGCGATGGCACGTGGGTTCCACCTTGGCCGGGGCCCCAGCCTGCCGGCCGCATCTGTGGCGCGAGTCTGTAAAGCAGCGATGCGTGTCGTCAGGGCATCTCAGGGCGGGGACAGAATCGGCCTGCCCGGTGCTACGAGAGCAGGCGGGGTCCACGGCCGTGCTGAGGCAGCTCTGTGCTCGCTGGCAGCTGGGCTGAAGACGGGCCTGCGTCCTCAGAACACGTGTGCACACGCACTCACACACGCCTCCTCCTTCGGTCCCCACCGAACTGCCCCGCTCGTCAGGGTCAGTGTCCTGGAACCGCTGTAACAAAGTCCACAGACCGAGCGACTTAGGGTGACTTCAACAACAGAAACATATGGTCTCACGGTTTCGGAAGCCACAAGTCCAAGGTCACGGGGTG